ATATGTTGCACTCTTATTCCTAGTGTGCCACTGGTTACGGTGACGCGTGCCAATGCTGGCACGCGTGCCAGGGGTTGCCGACCCCTGGTTTAATCTAATGCATCATATTCTTTGAAATTATCCTATATTGTCACTGTCTGGTGAGAACCACAAATCTCAATGAAGGCAACTTTGAATGAGCCTTAAAAAACAGCCCTGTTTTCATCTTTCTGATAATGCGTTTTCCAGCTGATCCAAGAAGTTTTTTAAATGGTTTATTTAGCTTAAGTTTGATCCCTTTCTCAACCCAGCTAGGGACAAATAATCCTTCAATTTATCACTGGACAGGAAGAAGACAACAACTTTAATCTGAAACGTAACTAAAGCTTTCAGACAAACATAAAAAATAAGCTTTCAAAATGTGCCTCTGAGATGTAGAGGTATAAAGTAGCATACAGGTATAACATTACACAAGCACCTCCTATTTGTGCTTGAGTAAAAGTACGTACTTAGTTTATACCACTGTTATTTTCAAAATGTTTATCCTGCCAGTTTAATGTTTGGAGATAAAAGCTGACCTGAGGGGGACACAAGTATTTCTTAACACCACACTATATGAACACATGTTTTCCTCATAGACTTTTGCAGACTTGTATTCAAACGTATTTGTCACAGGTCAAAAACTAATTATAAACGTCATGACATTCAGTTTTGTTTTTGGGATCACAATAAGAAGGTGGAAAAAGAATGCAACATAATTTCTGTGACTGATTTAGCTGCTGCACCTTGAACCATCTAATCACAGTGAACCTTGCACTATCATACCTAAAAGTAAGTTAAACAAATGCACAGAATAGCTTGCCAGTGTGTGTTTCTCAGTGATGGATGGCTGGACCAACTGGTGCTGCGAGGCTCTGACACACGAGGGTGTCAGGGCAGGGGCAGGGGGTGGTAAACATGACCGCACCGGATGGCCTAGGAAATGCAGAGGCCACCGGTTTGCTTGTTAATTTATGGACGGCCTGACAACACCAGAGCCCACAATGCAATGCTCCGCTTGCTAAATATGATCCCATTGAGGAAAGGAGCCAT